TATTTTCTGGGTTCTCAAAAGAATTTTGGGACTGTGTGATATCAACTTATTTAATATTATGTACTTCGTTCCATTCTGAAGAGTTTCTCAGGCTCACAGTGCTGGCCAGACTGAGATCTCAGGGAGAAGCATAAAAGTAAAAGCAGTGGCCACTGCCTTTGGACCATCCCTTTGGTGAAGCAACTGGTAGTCTTCTTGATCCAGGCAGTTTTTAATTTTGCACTACTCTGTTATGCAAATTCAAGTAAAAATATTAGACATGAATCCGAGCTTAACCACTTCGGATACTGGAAAATTCAAACTCATCTAAGTCCAAGACATTGATGATTTGTATTCATCTGGGTGAGCAGTGTTTAAATGCCAGTTGTATATCTTCCTAGCTGTGAAATCCTGAACATCTTTCTATCCAACATTATGAATCCACATTTAATTCTCTTATAAAATATGATAATTAATTGTATAGGGTGATTGTGAGAGTTAAATTTGTGGAAGACTTAGCATAGCGTCTGCTTTGCAGTTCAGTGTGCCTCATTAGGGTAGTTCCTAACGCATCTAGAAAGGGCCATGAGTACCAATGGCAAACTTTCTGCCAGCATCCCTTAGCGCTGCTTTGGAGCAGGGGGGGGAGGTAGGCAGGTATAGAGGCTCTGGGTCTGTCTGTGCTGCTCTCAGCAAGGACACTCTGCCTAGGTATCACAGCTCTCTTTCACATATTCCTTTCTTGGGAAGGTTCTTCTGCTAAATAATATTTTTTAAAAGTTTGACATCCATTGCTATAGTTTAACATCCTTAATTAACAGATGAAGACCTTGAGGTCCAGAGAGGCCAGGAGATTTTCCTATAGTCACACAACTGATAAGTCAGAAACAGAAGCTGGAATGGTAACCACTGGATAATGATGGGGGAACTCTAGCAGGTAATATATCTGATAGCATAAATTCAATAATTTGCTAATTTTTCTTGCTCATCTAGTCTTTTCCAGGCACTGTGCCAGTGGTTTGGTACACAGAAGGAGAAAAGGGACGCTGTTTCTTACCTGAGAGGGTTTACATTCAACTGGGGTGAGAAGCAAACACTTAAATAAGAAAGTATAAGCACAAAAAATATGAAGGGGAAACAGGATGCTCTGAAAAGAGAAAAATTTCACTTTACATGGGATGGTCCAAGAAGTCCTCTCTGAGGATGTCACATTAATGTTGAAGTAGGAAATAATTTTATTTTATTTTATTTTATTTTATGTTTTTTTAATTTTTATTTTGTCAATATACAATGTATATGATTATTATGGCCCTTCACCGACACCTCCCGCCCTCCTCCCTCTCTCCCCTCCCACCCAAGAATGTCCTTTCCGTTTGCTTGTTGTAAGAACTTCAAAAAAAAAGTATAGTAGTTATATCTTCTTCCCCACCCCCACCCCCGGTTTTTGTGTGTGTGTGTGTGTGTGTTTGTGGGTAAATTAATTTGTTTA